TTTTTAACAAAGATGAAAGATGTGACTGAAATTGAACTTATTTTATTTAATTTTGGAAGGTGCACAGACGCACGGAAAAAATGACATATAACCCAAATTTTGATTTTGGGGCTATTTACATCTATAGAGAGAGGGTTGAAAAAAATGCAAAAAAAGAGCAAAAACAAAATGTAAAAAATATGTTTTTGTTTTTAAACAAATATCAAAGTATTTGAGAGTTAATTCTACAAAAAAATGTTTTTAGAAGGTTTTTATTAAAGATAATTACAATATTGTACAAAATTATTTTAATAGTGTTACAGAATTCCAATTTTTCCCACTTTGAAAATCTAAGGTCCCCGGGACCCTCCATCCTAGGGTGGCGTGGAAGAAAGGGGATCCCAGGACCCTGAAAACCCAAATTGGGAAACAGCACCCTGTAATATTTAAAGTATAGGTGACTCATGCTAAAACCCTCCCCCAGCCTCACACCTTTATCTCTTTGTTTCTTTTAATGAATGCAGAGTAGTTAACCTGAACTGATTCATTAAGCTTTGAGATGTTTGAGGAGACTCTAAATACTCTAGTTAACCCTAAGAGAGAGTTAATAGAGTTATAGAATCATCTATACATAGAAGAATAAGATAATCTTGTGACAATTGAGACCTGTTATAGAAACAGCTGAGGAACAAGATAGTAGTAATATTTAAAGTATAGGTGACTCATGCTAAAACCCTCCCCCAGCCTCACACCTTTCTCTCTTTGTATCTTTTAATGAATGCAGAGTAGTTAACCTGAACTGATTCATTAAGATTCGAGTGTGCACCCTAGACCTTTGAACCGAACAGACATATGAGCCCAAGAACCGCTTGTGCAACCCAATGAATGTAAGGCAAGGAAAGTCATTTCAGTGGTGTATGAATTTTTTGTACTGCAGTGTACTGTCTTTGGGCTCTAATGTAAACACAAGAGTAGGGGTGTCACAGCCTGACATGGGATCCATCTTTCAAATAAAAAATCAATGATTTATTCTGGTCATAGGAATTTATAACATAAATTATCAAAATTAAAAAAAAATTTAAGTTATTCCATTGTAATATTTTACTAAGGTTGTGGAAAAACTTCTGCATTTTTAATTATTTAACAATGAGACCCAATAAATGTACAACGTCTTTTTTGTTGAAAAAAATCTCAAGAACAGAAATAAACTATCAACTATAAACTATATTATGGTCGTTTTTGGGTAAGGAATGGTTCAATTCGTTCAATACTTAAAATATGAAAATTATTTTGCTTTAGGCTTCACTTTACGATGGTAGGCGATTATATCAATATCATGAAGACAACTTTCGATTTTAATTTTGATTTATATCCAGCTTTTAAACAGCATGGATACACAAAAACATAAAATTAAACAAGTTTAACTAAAATTTCTAGTAGCTTTGTTCTTCAAAAAAGCTTCTTAACAATACAAACTTAAATAAAAAGTAGTCTTTATTTTATTAATATAATCGNAGTTCAACCCAACCATGCAAGAACAGGTGGATTTAGACTTACTAACATACGGAGAATCAGAGGATATGGAAGTGAATATCCAACCACCAGAGACTGAGACACAACACACTGAGGAGAGACCTAGCAACAAGGGAGGCCAAACTATCGAGTTATCTTCCGATGATGAAGAGGAAATATGGATAGATCCTGAAACTTCCCAGGGGGAGCATGGACAAGGGGAAGAGATGGAAACCCCCTTCCCTGAGGTTATCAGCTCGGATACAACAGGGATTATAAATCAGCCCATCCAACCTCAAATCAGCGGAGAAGACCTAAACTCTCAAGTAATGTCAAGAGGTATGGAGGATGTACCAGTCAACATTAAAGTAGAACCAGTAGCGGGAACCCCACCCCAAGAGAAGAGGGGATACAACCGACGACCTCTTCCTCCTCCGAGAGAACCAAGGATACACAGATCTGCATTTCAATCAGCTTCAGAAAAATTGGCAGCTTCATATAAGAGGAAGAAATGAGGTCGGAAAAAAAGGATAAAGCCTCATCGCAAAGAGACAACTTTAAATCATTATTGGGAAAACCAAAGATGGTTTCCCAAGGGGGATTAATGTAATATTTAAAGTATGGATGACTCATGGCAAGAAAACCCTCCCTGGCCTCACACCTTCATGTCTTTGTTCTTTCAACAATGCAGAAGAATTAACCTGAACGGATTCATTAAGATTGATCAGTGCACCCTAGACCTTTGAACCGAACAGACGTATGAGTTAAGCTCCGTTTGTTCAACCAAAGGCTAGGGGACGGGCACTTCATGGACAGCTCTCAGAAGGCTTACAACATGTGGACTTACATGATTATATCTTACATGATCATATCTTCAGGAATACAATAAACCATTGATGAGACAGATATCTCAGGTTACAACAGATCAGAGGAAAAAACCATTGATGAGATAGATATCTCAGGTTTACAATAAAATCAGAGATATGTGGTTCCACCTCAACACAGCTAGTTCAACTATCTACACCATTTAATATTCCAGGTGTTTCTATGGTTAGAAACACTGGAGACTCAGAGGATTACTGGAACTTTAGAATAGACAATAGAATCAGATCAATGTAATTCCACCTCAATACAGCTGGTTCAACTACCTACACACTCTAATAATCCGGGTGTTTCTATGGTTAGAAACACTGAAGAGTCCGAGGATTGCTGGTACTATAGAGCAGAAAATAGAATCAGAGCTATGTAGTTCCACCTCTATACAGCTGGTTCAACTACCTACAACCCTAACATTTATTTTTGATATTTTCAAAATAATTAATATTAAAAATACATTAGAGTACATTCTTCATAACTATTTATTGGTTCAATATTCTGCTATCTCTGCTTCTTTTTTCATTCTGTCTGTTAGTTCTGGATTTGTGATTTGCTTATCAAATGTTTCTAAATATAATATCTCAGCTGCAGAAACTGGACTCATAAACAACCATGAGATAATAACCCTTGCAAGTTTTCTGAAATTGATATTTGCTATCACGATTGTAGATTATTGAATGATGACTATACTAAATTATACCTATACACAATTAATGTGTATTTTTCCAAGCTCTGTTACAGGGCGAGGAAAGAAAAAGGAACAATGAAGTCTGGGACAGTCTCAAAGTCCTGGTAGTGTCCCAGGCTTTTAGGTCTTTAAGATTGAGAAATAAACCCCATAGTGTTGGGACTCTGGGTTTTTAGGACAGTTCCAACTTCCTAGGACTGTTCAAGGCTTCTGGGACAGTCCCAAAGTCCCTGGACTGTCCCATTCTTTTGGGTCTCTGAGATTAAGAAATAAACCCTATAGTGTTGGGTCTTTGGGTCTTTTGGACAGTTCCAATGCCCTAGGACTGTTCAAGGCTTCTGGGACAGTCCCAAAGTCCCTGGACTGTCCCATTCTTTTGTGTCTCTGAGATTAAGAAATAAACCCTATAGTGTTGGGTCTTTTGAACAGTCCCAATGCCCAGGGACTGCCCAGAGCTTCTGGGACAGTACCAAAGTTCTGGGATTGTCCCAGGATTTTGGGTCTCTGATTTTGAGAAAAAAACCCATGGTGTTGGGACCCTGGGTCTTTAGGACAGTCCCAACTTCCAAGGACTGTCTCAGGCTTCTCAGATGGTCTCAAAGTCCTGGGATTGAGAAATGAACGCCATGGTGTTTGGACTCTGGGTCAATGGGACAGTCCCAACAGCCCAGGACTGTCTAGGCTTCTGGGACAGTCTGAAAGCTCCAGAACTATCCCAAGCTTTTGAGTCTCTGAGATTGAGAAATTAAACCCATGGTGTTGGGACTCTGGGTCTTTGGGACAGTCCCAACATCATACATGTACTATAAGAACAGAAGAACAAAAAATAAAATACATAATCTTAGAAATAAAGTATTTAGGACAGGGATTTAGGGTCTAGGCACACAGTGTTAGGAATAGGAAAAAAATAGAACAATTTACAAGTTCAGAACAGAAAAGAAAAAAACTCAGAATTGGGACCAAAAATTAAAGAATAAAGAACATATGCGCAAAAAAATGTCATTCAGCATATTTTATATGAATAAGGAACAATAATCAATATTAATAATTTGAACATAAAGAAAGATAAGAATAAAAAGAAATCACTTAAAAAGTTAGGAAATTAGGAACAATATTACCATTTTGATTAATGAGTAGGGAACATAACTATGCAAATGCAAGTTAGATAAGAACAATATTATAATACTATCTTGGGAACCCAGTGTTGCCCAGGGTACTCATGGTTACTCCCACTGTTTACCCGCACTTAAACGATTGCTACCGGGAAACTAACTTTTCTCAAACTAAAAACATTTCCGTGGTTCTCCCGAGGTCCCCAATCAAAATTTGAGAACAATCTGTCCAGGTGTTACTACGTTATGATTGGACAAACAAACAGAGATTGCAACTTTATATATATAATTAAGTCTTTCCTGCCACTATAGATGTAAATAGCCCTAAAATCAAAATTTGGGTTATATGTCATTTTTTCCGTGCGTCTGTGCGCCTTCCGAAATTAAATAAAACAAGTTCAAATCAATCTCTCAACTTAGTTAAAAACTTTGAAAACACATGAAAATCACACTTGAAACAAAATTCAATAATGTATGTCATTTCCTTGCGCCTGTGCGTTTTCAGTCACATCTTTCAACAGTCTGATTCTGTCTATACTGAACAACAGAATGTATTCAACTAATTTATTTATAAACATGATAATATGGACTGGTCTGACCGCCCAGGTAACAAAACTAAAAGATAGAATTATAAAACAAAATATGATAACATTGTAAGGTAGATAGTTAAGGATCCAGCTACTGCAGAATTCATTACATCAATCCCCTAGGGAAGAAAGTGATCGACACAATAGAGTGAATTTCACACTATTTGTTGTCACTCTAAGGGTCTCTTTAGCCCGGCCGCTGACATTCAATCATCAATGATCATCATCCTCATCATCCTAATCATCATCCTCTTCATCATCATTGTCATCTTTTTCATCATCATCCTCCTGATCATTATCATCATCGTCATCCTCATCCTCTTTGTCATCATCCTCCTCATCATCATCATTGTCGTCATCCTCATCACCATCATCATTATCATCATAATCATCACAGTCCTCATCATCATCATCATCCTCATCCTCATCCTCACTAGTGATGAACGTGATTGTGGAAATGTCTTCAAGAAACTGACTGTCTTCTAGGTTAATTTATAAGGAATTGACACACCACTGTTGAAAAACTCGGTTTGCAACGAGGGCTCTAGACCTTAACCCTTAACGATCGTTCTTTCCCAAGAACGAACAAAACAATCAAGAACGATCCCATCGTTCCAAAAAAAAAACGAATGCTTAGAACGCGTTCTTAAAAATATTGGAACGATTAGTAAAAGAACGGAACGGAACGGGAATTTCTTGAAAAGAATGGTTAAAATTGTTAAAATTTGGGAACGAATTTTAAATCAGGAATGTATTCTAAATCCTCTAGAAATAGTTAAAGATTTTTTTAATTAATTACCTGACCCCCCTCCCCTCCCCCCACTTTCCCGCAATCCCTGCTTCCCTGGTCTCTGCTAAACTGACAACACTCAGACACACAGTAGGCTTCAGTTTATAATTTCTGTATATTGTACATATTAAGATAAATTTTAAGGTTTTTTTGTTGGAAATATTAGGTTTCTCTCAGGGGAGGGGGGCTGGTTGTTAGTGATATGATTAATTTTTCTTTAAAGTTTAAGGAAAAATATTTCATTTTTTCATTGTTCAAATTAAGGATGCTCCCACCCCTCCCCCTGCTCTCACAAAATTATACATTGCTCAGCCCAGAAATTATCTAAGCATATTCTTTTAACCCTAAATTTTAAATATATAATTTAAAGTATTATTTATAGGGCCGTGAGGAACTTTTTATTAAAAGATCGTAATTTTTTTACTTAAAAAGTAACTCTTATCTATAAAACTTTTGTCTTGGATGGAATTGTTCGTTACTAAGAACGGAACGGGGGATGGAAAGGTTCTCATGATTAAGAACAGAACAAGATGGAGGCAACCGTTCTTCAACTAAGAACACCAGAATGGAACGGAATGGAAAGACCCTTCTTCTACTCAGAATGGAAAGTAACAAGAACGGAACGATAAAAAAAATAAACGAGAACTGAACAATTTAGCTTAAGGCCCTCGTTCTAGAACGGAACGGAACAATTTCAAAAAAGTTGGAACGTGCCCAGCCCTTGGGGAATCAAACTTTTTAACAAAGATGAAAGATGTGACTGAAATTGAACTTGTTTTATTTAATTTTGGAAGGCGCACAGACGCACGGAAAAAATGACATAGAACCCAAATTTTGATTTTGGGGCTATTTACATCTATAGCCAGGAACGGGCCCAGTGAACAGTAACGATTGGTCAAACAATACTTTTGCAATTTGTTGATACTCTATTCATTTTACCCGAGTAAATCCCCAAGTCACCCTCTTCTGACTAAAAGTTGATTTTTATCATGCGGAATTAGTAGACTAAAAGTACATTAATCATAAGTAGTGTTTCTGACTTTTTGGGCCTCCATTACTAACAATCTAGCTATACCTCAAAACGGATAGGGTCGGGTTTCATACCCACCTCTGTGCATTACCCCCCATCATAAATCATCAGGTTGCCATGTGTTTATTTTTAGTAGCTGCAGCTGCTAGCTGACAGCTTGGACAGTTTGCTAACTTATTTAGTCTCTTTCAGGTTGATTAAAACCTAGCTTTTTTAATTTAAAAAGCTAGTGTAAAATACACGTCAATTTGAATTATCAACGTTTAGATGTCACTCAGATAAAAGCATGTCATTGATAAGCAACTCCAAAGGTTGCCCGTAACCAGTTCTTTTGGAATTGTTTCCTTTTTTCAGTGTATACAATTCACCATAGCTATTCATAGGTTGATATAATTAACAACTAGTCTTAAAAGATAAATAAAACATCCTGAGAGAAAATTTAGTGCATTTTCTTAATAAAATTATTATATTTAGAAAAAATTAAAATTATTTTAAACCCAAAGCTTCACTTCTAAATTATAAACTTTTATTAAGAAAATTGAATCTTAAAATTTCTTACTTTTTTAGTTTTACGGAAAACTTTTAGAGACACCTAGTGGTGAAAATAGAAACCAAAAAGATTTAGGTTTTAAGTCAACAGCTTGTATATTTCACAAACACACAAAACTAGACATGCACAAACATATGCATATGTTAACAGAGTGCAGGGGGGGGGGGGTAGAGGAGAGGAAATCTTCTTACAGCTGAAAACATATTTGATATTTGATCTGAATGTATCACGAGGGATAACTTTTTTCTAACTAAATTAGACATCTAGCCAATAATGGGGAAAAAAGAAGCAGCATATTGGAGGGGTAACACATGTGTTAATTATAAAGGATATATTGAGGTATAACTTTCTTGGTAGGGTTGTCAGCTAAATTATACATAAGTAGGGGGGTAGTGGGGGGGAAATATATTTACAAAATTGTATCAAGTTACCGAGATTCCATGCTTCATCTTGATTTTGTCGACCAGTAAGTCAGGAAAGTCGCAGTAGTCTATGAATTCGACCTCTTGGGTTTACACGGGTACTAATTAATACATGCAAAATCATATTAATAATTAGTTTCTGTGCATCTGCATGGTCTTATCCCCAGGAATTGCAGTATGTTTTGAGTCCAAAATATGTCATCACAATTGCATTGACATAATGGTCACTTATACCTGTTATAAAAAAGAAGATTAAAGTTTATTTATTTTTTATGCTTGTAAAATCTTCCCCACACTCAACATTTTGAATCATATAAAATAAAATAGATTGTCATGAAGACATCTTTTTTTAATGAGTTTTGAAAATTTTACATTTTTTTAATAGTTTTCTATTCTAGTTGTAATTTCATTCTAATAATTAATTCACAATAATGATAAAAATTGAAAATAAAAGAATTTTAAATAACAATTAATGACATATGTATAGTTCTAAGATGATAAAAAAAATGCAAATACAAATAGCAACTATAAATGATACCAGTCTTTTAGTGGGCTTAAAAAAATATTACCTTACCATTGAATGGTTGGGTTTTATAAAAAGCAAGAGGCGAGTTGAACCACTTTCTTTATGCTGGTTCTGATTGATCTCAAGGGTTATTTGAGAGATATTGAGACGTACCAATTTAACACCTTTTTATTTCTTTTCTCAACAAATTTGTTTTCTATTATATTTATATATATTTCAATATATATGTTAATATGATTATAAAAGCTTACCTGAGATTTCATTTATTTAAGTTTATTATCTTAATTTAATAAATTTAATAATAAATTTTGTATCAGGCATGGTTTTCGATTTATTGTTTTTGATCTTTGATATGCATTATGAACTTCATAATGATAAAAAGATCAAGATTTGTTTTGAAACTTGTGATTTCATTTGCTTTTAATAGCAAGGGCTAACACGTTTTTTAAAAAATATGAGAATGAATATTGCTCACTCTTTTAATTATAAAGCAAAATTAATAGGATATGTTATGTGCAATTTCAATCATTTAGCCACTCAAAAGAAGCATGAGCTGAAAACTTAAGAGAGAGATATCCTTAATCACTATCGTTTAATCTAATTATCCAATGTAAATACTCTAGATTTTCTTCTTAATCCTCTTTTTGGATATTTCTACTGTATAAAAATTATGTTTGACAACAAGTACAGATACAATGCTATATTATTTGGAATAGTATTCGATTGAATTAAAGTCAGCTGTTCACAAGCCCACTTTTAGAGCATTTAAACAAAGATAAATTTAATCATGTTAATATGAAATTATTAAAAAACATATTTTGATTTTGAACATTAGTCTTTATAAACATTAATCCAAAACTTACATGCATTCAATCAATTTTTAGTTAAACTGATATGACACCATCAACACCAGAAATCAAAACCGGTTTTTCAAAAGTTAAAGAGTACATCTTAACATGATATGATGATTGGTTAAATTTTAACTTCTTTCTTGGATATTGAATGCATTTTCAAATAATCTTGAGTTAAAGTATTAATCTTGATATCCACAATACTAAAGTTTTCAGCTCTGAGTCTAAAACTAAAGAATGCGCGAATTTTAAGTTCGAGGTTAAAAGTTCTGTAAAATAATGAGTAGCTATTTAAATATTAAACTTTCTCAATTTTAAATTTGAATTTCCCGGGAAAATCTGAACCAATCAGAGAAAAGAATTATTACGTAACTGTTGGTAATCAGCTGATTTTTAAATTTTAAATTATTTACGTGCAAACATTAATTAATCTAAAACGTGAAATTTATTAAATCAAGGTTTTTACTTTTAAATTTATCGTAATTAGTTGAATGCCACTTACCGCTGAATGATGATGGACAAATCGGGATTGCGGGATTTCAAGATTTTAACCCTGTGTTTAAATTTTAACTCGTCGATTTCGGCGAGTTAAATATTTAACCACAGGGTTAAATATTTAACCTCACGGTTAAAATTCAGGTTTAAATTAAGTCAGAAGTGGCATTTAACCATGAACTTAAGATTTAAGTCAAATCTTTTCGTTCTTTAGTTTTAGACTCTGGATAAAGTTCTTTAAAGTGACCCTCCTAATATAAAGGGGAATGTGTACACCCTTATAATACTCGAGTATACTTGTAGAATTAAAGATTACATTTTACACAAGAACTTGATTAGACAAAGATTTCAAGGGTAGCATGTCAATCAGCCATGAATATTTAAAGTTGGAAGGTTTCCTTTATAATAAGATACTAATCAGAACAACTGTTTGTTCCTAATCGTTTTTACCAGAACATTCACTGATGTTTTGAGGCATCCAGACCATCAAGCCATTTACCTCCATACATTGAACAGTTTGTTCTGAAACAGTTTATTGTATGACATTTTTTTCTGATCAAATAACTGTCAAAAAAAATGTCAACCCTAGAATTGTAAATTTTTCATATCTTCTAAAATGTATTATCCAAAACTTGCAGGGCTCTTCATGCCCCTTATTCTTTTAACAATATAGCTTTGAATTCAGATTTAAATCTTTCTCAAATTTATGCAGATTTTTTTGTTCAATTTGGTGCATTTAAACCAAATTTTGCCTGATGTCTGGTTTTCTAACAGGCTACCTATGGGGGGGGGGGGGNGCCCTCTATTTTCTTATTGTGATACATATCTATAACATTTTATATGTTTTTGAAAAGCCCTTGATCTCTACTTCAATAATCTGCAAAAAAGGGAAAACTTGAAAAAATCCAATTATTAATTGCAAAATCTAGTTATAAAGCAAAAATTTGAAAAAAATTGCACAATAAAATTAGTTATACATTTTTAAAAAGCTCTTGACCTAATGTGTATTGAAGAAAACTAAACATGTGCAAAATTATGTGCACAATTTTTTGGCAAAAATTGTGTAATCTGCTTGCTTTTGTTAAAGGCTTTCTAAAGAGCTATAAAAAGGTTGAAATTCTATGACTGGAAGTAGATCTAAATATAGATTTAGTCTGGTTTAGGTAAAATAAGGCATTTAGGCAGTATGTCTGAGGAAACAGACAGTATGTAAAAAAGCCCAGCTTTTAGTCCTAAGTTAGGGGAATTTGTTAGTTAGAAAAGCAAAAAAATGATAGGGCAGGCCAAATAGGGTTAAAAATGCTGATTTTCAACTTTTTCCTGAGCAAAATTTATTAATTTCAACCAGCCGTGAGCTTTTCCTGGAGTTAGGTTAGGTTGTGAGTTGTATCAAAATTTTGGGCGTGTTCAGTGCAACCCTTTTAATGTTTAACGAACACAAACAAACAAACACACACACAGACAAGCAAAGTATAAATATGTAGAAGAGTAAAATACTGATTTAAAAGCATGCAGCTGTGTAACTATAAGAAACAAAATTGCATTGTATAAGGGGATAAATTCTGTCCATGTGCTCTCTTTTGTCGCATTTTTAAATTTAAAATTTAGCACACCAAAAATTATGTCAACATTTTTGAGTAGCACAGTGAAAAAGAACAAAGCAACATTACATTATCAATACCTTTGCCTTTTATTGAAATAAATACCTGCAACTATGTTTTCCCATCCATTGTTGTCAGTTGCTACAATGTAACGTCCATGTACACAACTGTAGGTAACTGTATCACCCAGCTTGTTTTGCTTGTTTGGCCATTTTATTTCATTTGTTGGGTTTGGAGCCGGTGGAGTTTCCAAACATTGTTGTGCTAAGGAAAAAAATGAGTTTTCCTGGAAAATGGAGGGGCAGGGGAGCAAAGGGTGGATTACTGTAATCTTTTAACCCTATTAAGAAAGGAAGGGAGGGGTGTGTATTCCACCCCCTCCATTCCCTTGTGGTTTTTTCTAAATATCTCAAAAACAGCTAAAACTTCTCCACTATTTCAACAAATTCAAATTTAACAAAAATAATTTTCTTTTTTTTTGTGGAAAACAGTCAAATGCAGAGAGCTTTCTAGCAGACCTCCCCTATCCTAGGCTGGAAGAATGTAACTGACACCCATGTCTATAGTTATTGTCAGGACGATACTTATTATAAACAAAATGTTGATTTGTGTTCAAATCCTGTCATGGTTTGTATTTTCATAAAAAAGGGATTTTTTGTATATGTTAAAAAACCTACGCATGCAGTTTGGAAGTTTTTGAGGATGACTCCATTGTTTGTTTGGTAAACACTTATTGTACCAAAAAGGGTAATCTCCAGTTTCGAACATTTTCCCATCAGGACATGTATATCTTAAACAATAAAATAAAAAAAATAAATAGATAAAGCTCTAGTAGTTAATTTTGTTTAGTTAATTTTAAGATGTTAAACATCTAAATCTAATAATGTGCAATTTTTCTAAATTCACAAACCTTGTAGCATTTAATCCATAAACTCTTTCAGCCCCTAAGTGTGGGGGAGGAGGTTGATTTGGACATGGCAATTCTAAAAATCAAATATGAATTTTGGGTTGCAAATTAATTCATCCAGGAATATTACCTACGCAGTTCTCAACTTCTGTCACATTCCAATGTCCATCCTTTCCACACATGGACCACATTTGGTCCAATCCTGAAGATGGGTATCCCCAATTAATTTGTGGACACCAATATCTTACTATTGTGCCATATGGTCTAGCATTTCCGAGAGTCTCAATCCAGCTCATCATTCCAAAATCAGTCATGTCAACAGTAGTCGGGGGAGATGTGCAGTTACGTGCTAAATTAGAAAACTGTGTAATACCTTTAGATATGAATAGTCTGCATTATCTTGCTATGTTTTAAATATACAATATCTACAGGTCTTACGTATACATGAAGGGAGTTGTGAAATTGGTTTTTCATCTGTTACTGGATGCCATTTAGCATCTTCATGACATATTACTTCAAAATCAATGGCATTAGCACTTGCATCTATATTTGGCCATTTCACCACATGTCCCTCAGGGCAGCTATACTTCACAATATTATTATAAGTGTTCCAATTCTTTGAATCATTTGATTTTCTTCTAAAGTGATCATCAGAAGCTATATTCATGTCAGCAGTCTTTTCTGGTAATTCATCCTCATTACAGCGGAGAGCTGAATTTCAATAAAATAAAATATGCATGTAAAGTAAAGATAAATTCATTATTTTCAAATTACCTATACATTGTTGGGATGCATCAAACTCTTCATTATGCCATTTCCAATTTGAACACAGCACTGTTATTGATCGATTATATGTAGTCTCAAATACAAATCCTTTAGGACAGGTATATTGTGCATGTGTATTATTTGCAAAAGCTGAATAAATCATGCTAAAATCTTCAAAATTATTTGCAACAGTAAACATTATTTTATCTGTTATATTATCTGAATCATATATCCAGTCTGGCCAATGTAATCTTTGTTTTTCACCAGAAATAATGTAGGATGACTTATCATCTGTTGAAAAGTTAATGTGAAACCAGTTTGACTCAAAGTTTGAAGTGGTGTTGTCACTATATAACCCAAATTCTGGTATTGGGGGAGGTGTTAAACACATCGGTTTTTCTTCTTCTGTTGGACAATGGTTCAGACAAAGGCCCCAGCGTTTAATTTGTGAATTTTTGTCTATTTCTAAAAAAAAGAAAAAAATATAAATATTTAAGGGGCTTTAAGCTTAATTTAAAATGACCCTCCAAAAAAAATTGCAATGCATGATTTACAACGTTACCCATGAAAATTTTGACTGCTTAATTATTTGGTTATTGTCGTTTTTAAGGTTTTAAAGTGTTTAATTCTGATAATTCCTAAATTTCCTGCATAAGTAAGAAAAACCAGAATTGAAAAAAATTGTTTTAAGATTTACAAACATTTATATCTAATTCATGCTTAACATTACTATAAGCAATTTAAAGTGCCACTCCATGCAATAAAGGCAATGCCTAAATTACAACAGTATCCTTAAGAGCTTTGTCTGAAGTATGCATTTAATATCTATGTGCTTGTTCTTTTAAACTGTTTCTTTTTATTTGTGGTTTCTTCTTTTTAAATGAACTTGCACATGCTTTAGTTACAAGAAACAATGGAGAAATTGAACACTTTTTAGTGTGAAAAGGACATTATTATCCATATTTAATGATCAAAATTAGGGTTTAAGGTTATACAGACCTATTGGGCACCATGGTTTGAATACATCTCCATATATACACTGTTTATACTCTTCTCCTTTGTATATAAACGGGAATATACATTGAAACCCATCTGTAGAGTAGCAAGCTATATATTCACATAATGTTGGTAACTCCTCTTCACATCTACTCCCATTCAAGGTTAAGTTTAGTCCAGTTGATGTGGCAACTGAACATTCTTCCTGGAAATATTTATAGTTAGATGTTGGGAACATTTCATAGTGAGACATTTCATTGAGAGGAAATTCTAAATTTTCCTTCTTCGAATCTATGACTGGAACTAACCCTGATTTTCTAATTTTTTTTATTCTTTGCATCCAAATATTGAAGACCTTTTATGTGGCAAACAAAAAAATATGTTGATCAAATATCTAAGCCTTTCATCATCAGGTTTCATAGATTAGAGAATTTGAGTTTGTGGAAAAAACTCAATTCCTGTCAGAGATAAAAAAGTTCTTTAAAAGTGAAAATTGAGGGTTAGGAGATGTACTAGACAGAATTTGTATAAAAGATAATATTTCCAATTTGAAGAAGTATGGTTTTAAGATTTACAAATAAATCCTAAAAATTCCATGCACAAAAATATTGTTTTGCATTTGTGTGTCTCAACAAAAAATTTATCAGTTCAAATTTAGAATATTTGTTTTGCAAATGTATCTCTCAACAAAAAAGTTTAAAGTGAAAATATGTCTGATATGCGAAGTAAAAATTAGACAGATTGTAGAGTGAATAATTTATTATATAAAATTACTTTTTTAAAATAAATATAAATTATCAACAAAATGTCCTTTGTGAATGAAATGCCCAGTCTTTAAAATATCTCTTAAGAAATGTTCTATCTATAAAATTTTCTATTCTATGTCTATGTCTTTCCAACACCAGAAGATAGCATTATGATTCTGAGACATAACACACACTGGATCAGTCTGAATATGTTTGTTGATGCAGAAAATGTGTTGGGTCAGCCACATACTATGAACTAGAGATGTCAACCTGTTGATTTTTCTGGTTTTTATTTTTCATTATGATAGTATTCATCAAAATTATTTGATGAATACTATCATAATTTTGTTTGAAACGTTATGACTTTTCTGCACAATGTTAATCTTTAATAAAGATAGAAAGTAAGAAAAAATAAAGCTCTGTTACCCATTTGCATTTAAAAAACTTTACAAACATTCTGTTAAAGCTTTAGTAATATAACCACATTTTTTTAATGCTCCACTTTCATGCAAGTGTTTTGTAGCCAAAAGTTATATAAAACATTTGAATCAAAAAGTTATTTAAATCCTAAGTTTTTTACATCTTCCTTTGTGTACTGCAAATAAATGTACACAAGTATACTGTGTTGTACACAGTGTACACTGTACATTGTTGATTGTAAATTGGATTAGTTCTAACTAGGATATCAAGACGAAAATAAGAAGAATCTTCCTATGATGATCTCTTCTATTAATAAATGTCAAAACTAAAATCCTCGTTTCAAAACAATTCTTCTTAATGTCTTTTGTACAGGACGTTGAAGTATTAGTTTTCTTTAATGAGATTATACAACAATTCGCTGAAATCATTGGCTAATTTACTGTTTGACATTAAAGGGACTGTTCAGCAATTTTGAACAAAGTCCCACATTTTTCCTCTCTGAACTTATATGTCCTAAGGGGATATTCTTATCTTGGTATGGAAGCCTACATCTGTATTTGTATAGTTCCCTTGGTATTTATGCTTAGTCTATGTTTGGTTTTGCATTAAATATCTATTTGGGTAACTGTCTTATCAGTAATGTCTAATCCAAGAAGACTTTTGGAACATGTGAAAGAAAGCCAAAACCTAGTACTGGATGGAAAGACAAGATCTACAGTTAATACAAACATGGCAGATAAACAAGGTGAAGCCCAAGAAACTCCATCTATTGCTAGAATAGATGGACCAGAACCTAGTTCCCTTTTCAGAAGACCAAGTCCTGGACTTCATGCACCATATCTCTACCTAAACTCTGATATATCAAGCCAAAGAACAAACTTGATACTACCTGAAAACACTTCTACTCAACACGAAGCTCATATCAAGTCAGACCAGAGCAATGAGAATCTGAAATCTACTGAAGAGACTTTGGAACAGAATTTTCAATCATCAAAAGATTTAGATAAGTTGAAGAAATCTCTTAAAGATTACGAAGAATCAAAGCCTCAAGATCCTATAGATATATGGCAGGAAAAGATTCTACTTCAAGAGACTGTCTTAGCTAAAGACTTGGATGAGTTTGAAGAGAATTGTTTGGAATTGTTGATACCAGACTTTACAGATGATTTACAATCTATAAGACAACGACTTGAAGCTTGTAAGGTTCAGATCGATAATATAATTTCCAGTTACCAATCTTCAGCAGTTGAGTCCTATGATACCAGCGTAGATCTTACAGAGAACGAAGAGACAGGGTCTGAATCTCCTGAAGTTGAAGCATACTTAGCTCGAAACGAACTGATAATTGCTGCTGAAGGCCTTGAAGCAGGTCCAATTCTACCCAAAGACTTGACTGCCTGCATAAGTGCCCCTGCTGGAATGAAAGTAACTATCAAGAAAGAAAATACTGAACAAAAATTTTCTTTTGAAAAATATCTAAACAAAATGGAAGCCTCAATGCTCAAGGTTCAAGCTGATCAAGAAAAGAGAATCAAAGCAAACTCTGATTTAATCAAGCTAATCAGCATGAGATTGTCTCGGCAAAAACCACATGTTCAAGCCCCAGATAAGCTGCCAACTTTCACAGATCAAATGCAAAGTGTTCGCAGGGAAATGGCTCAAGCATCACCTTCCACTTCATCACCATCTGTTGATGATATTGTAAATGGTGTAGCTGATAGGCTTACAGGAAGTTTTAACAAGAGCAATAATGATCCAGCCCTTGTGAAATATCAGACTGATAAGATCAGGATCATAGCTTCTAGAATCAAGGAAACTTTACAGAAGCATGATTTGGAAAACAGCCAAAAGTTAGCCAACAAGCAGATCAGAGACTATTACACTCTGAAGTTCAAGATTGTCAGTGATGACGCTACAAAACTTGATTCTGCTGCTGAACAATTTCTCAAGAAAGGTAATTCTAATGATGCTCTTATAACTGAAGCTCAACTTCAAATTGCTTCTGCCAATTCTTGGTGCTCCAGAGTGACAGAACTTTATATTGAGCGTGGACTAAACCTAAAAGTTGATCATAAGCAGTTGTTGGATACAATTCCAGTCTTTTCCTGCGAAGGAAAGACTACAATGTATGAATTCTTGAAGATCTTTGATGATGTTACCTCTGAGACCCTCAATGATAAACAAAAGGCACACCTTTTGTATTCAAAACACATATCCAATAGATTGAAGGCTGACCTTCACACAATGTCTGATAGTTTCACTAAGATGAGAGCATGGCTGCTAGAAAAGTTTGGAGTGGTACGCGGAATCATTGATCGTAAGATAAACCCCATTCTTGCAGAGAAACACCCTGATGAACAATCCCAATCGTCCTTATCAGAATATTACAGAATTGTTCATCTCCAGCTTAAAGAAATTACAAATCTTCATCTGACAAGTAATTTACCTGAGAAAGAGCTGTTTGACCATATTCACAAAGTGGATTTTGTCCAGTTTTGCATTTTAACCTTTCTTCCTGAGAGCTTCAGTAGCATCTTTATTGAGGAAATGGAAAAGGAAGGGTGGAACTTCAATGCTATTGAAGGAATGAAAGCCTTCATGATATTGCTTGATCTCACTGGAAAACTTAGTAGGCGTTCAGAACAATTAAATCAGATTCTGTGCAAAAACAAGAACAAGAAGCAGAGACCAACTCAAACTGAAGTTCTCCCAAAACCAAAACAAACTGTTCATTCAACACAGCAAGATTCAAAGAAACTACAATCACCTAAATCTCACAAACCGCAAGCCAAATCACCAGTGGTGAATACCAATAATTCACAACAATCAAAGCCGAAAAAATCCTCACCTGCTTCATCCACAAAGAAGAGTCCAAAAAAAGGAAACGGCCAAAATAGCAAGAAAAAACAGTGGTATGATTCTAACATCAAGTTTCCCTGTCCTATTGCTGATCATGTTCTTAGAATCATGACATAGGAAATTGTGAGCAGTTTTTTAAGCCTGAAGCTGTCATCAGAAAGGCTCATGCATCACTCAAGTTGTGTTTCACCTGCTTGGGTCCTAGAGATCAGTGTCAGGGATCATCTTTCAAGTGTGGAAACATGAATCTCCCTCAAATCTTAACTTGCAAGCATTGCAAGTTTCCCATGAATGTCCTCCTATGCTCAGACAAATCCCACAAGAAGCCATCTGTTGAAGATATAGTTGAAGCTCTTGAAGAATGGATTCCAAACTTCAAAAGTAATGCAACCTTCCATGCGATCATTCATCAAAGCCACAGCAAACATTGTGGCAATTACTGATGCTTGCATTTGTGGGAACAATAGCACAGCTTGTGCATGTGATAGGCCAAAAAGCCTAACTAGAGCTCCTGTTCCTGAAGAGAAACCTCCAGTTTTTAATGTTACATCTAGAGAAGTCTTAGAACACTCAACATGCAAGACCTTGCCTGAAGCTGCAGAAGACAGTATTTACCTGTTTCAAACCTTCATGTTTGGTTCTGAGGAAGTGACAGGATTCTTTGACTCTGGTGCCAATGCACACCTGATCAAGGGTGACATAGCTGAACTTCTCAAACTTAAAGTCCTTAGCGATGATAATATGTCTCTTGGCACAGTAGGTGGTTCCAGGATCTGGACAAATTACGGATTGTACTCCTTGTCAATAGGTCCAGATACGGAAGGAAATTATCATGAACTAATAGCACAAGGAATTGATACCATCATGAAGAAACTTCCAGTCTACCCACTGAAAAGTGTCAATGATGAAGTTATAGCCAATGAACCTGCAATGAAAGAAGTTCTACCTGAATTTGCTGGTGGAGAAATCAAACTTCTTATAGGAATTAAGAGTTCTCCACTTTCTCCCAAATTGATATTTTCCCTTCCTGGAGGACTGGGAGTCTATGCTAGTAGCCTGAGAGATAAATGGGGATCGAGAATTATTTATGGAGGCCCTCACAAGATTTTTACTCAGTTAAACTACAGAAATGGAATGAATTTTCATCACATTCAAGTCATGTTATCTGGCCAGGCTGCTTCATACAGAGAATCTGTATATCCTATAATAAGAATGTGTACTAGACTTGATGATCAGGATGATA